CGATGCACTTGTTCCTAATAGCTTCTTGTTACTACAAACCATGGAGAGAATTTCTGTCGACTCAGTCGGATTTTTGTGGGAGGAAGTCCTTATAATTGACCCAACCCCGCTGCCATCCCGTGCTTGTTAAACGAAGCACCTGTTGGTCCTTCTCTTGGTGGATGTCCAAATGTCGTGGTGCGATTGGGTCCAAGGGATACCGCATCATTTACTTCACAAAATAGTTTTATTCAGGCCTGTTGTATGGGTTGTATGGGGTTGCATCAGGCGGCAGTATAGCAGCAAGGTCAGAAAAGGTAATGTGCTGGAATCTGCCAACCTCTCACTGCTGACCGCGGAAATATGTTTGCAGGCAGCTGGCACTAGGCCTATTGAATTAGCATCCGGACTCTCACTTCAGTCCTGAATGGTGAAGACCCAGGCTTGCGCGTCCACCTCTATGTGGGTGGTTTTAGAGCGAAGATTGTGCTGCTGCGAGGGGCTTTCGACTGAAGTCGCTATTCATCCCGACTCAATCATACTCAAAGGGAGCAAAAGACCCACAAAGAAGCTCCAAGAAGCTTGGGAATTACCACCATAAAAGATTTGTCGCTGTGCACAAGCCTTGGAAAACTAAGCCGACGCGCTCAGTTCAGAATCGACATCTCGTCAACCTGCGGTGTGTCGAAAGTCGAGACTTTCATTGCACCAGGTCTGCTGAGGCTCGGCAGCATCAAATCGAGGTTTGTCCTGACGAAACATCGGGTCGAGCCTCAAGACTTGCTGGAGAAAAAGCTGGACAAACTCCGAATGAAAACAATGACATGATCTGTCCGAGTCCTAGTGCATGGACTGGGCTCCTTATGCTCCTTTGACTTCCCGGAAAAACAGCCGTAGGCAAAGTGAGCCAAAATGAGCAAAACAAATGCCTTACTATTTCAGCTTTGCCTTTTGGCCTCCGAATTCAGACCCGCACTAGGTCCACCAGTCCCTGGTCCCACCGTCCTCGGTTCTTCCGACTGGCACGTCTCAAAGGAGGTCAGCCAAACGGATCTCCCAATGATTGCCAGGTCCCCCTTGTGGCCCATTCGGGCCAGAGGAGCTGGAGCTGTAGCTTTGGGTATAGCCTGACATGAAGTGACCCCCAAAAATGAAAGAAAATGCAAAATAAATCTGCCACCAAACATGTCCAAAGCCTCTCAAGTTTCGGCTTGGAACTTCACAACCCTTCACCGCAACTCTATAACATTCTATAACTACCCGGCAAATGTTCCACAAACATGCCCCGCCTGCCATCGGCGCTTTCTGGCCAGGCATGGGGTCTGCCACGGCCGCGTGGGCAGCGGCAATCAAGCGGTTGGCTGGAGCCACCCCTCCGACACCCTCTGACTTTGACAAGTCGGGCTCGTCCCCGGTCCGCAGGGCGTTGCGGGGCAAGGACTGGGAACGGCCCTGGCATGGAGTCGCAGGGATATTGTAGTTGAGGAAGGTGTTCTGGACACTGATGCCCATGCCGTCCATCTGGTTTGGAGTCAACATTGGCCATTTAGGGAAGCCCGGCGTGTCTGGAGTGGGTGGCATCAAAGGATGTGGAGTGCTCTCAGGCACCATGCCCGGCACATGGTTGGGGGCCTCATCCGCCACCAAACCGATCTGGTGGCTCGATTCCCATCGGTCACGAAGGGATCGTGTTGGAGATGAAGGCCTCCAGCTTTGATGGGGTTGGACAGCTCGGCTTGGCGCCTCTGCCTCCACATCTTCCATTGACAACGGTTGAACGAAACGGGCACGGTCGCGCAAGGTGGGGCGATCGTTGGTTGGCTGGGGGCCGGTGTAAAACTGCTTGGACTGGTAGCTGGGCTGTGGGTCTGCTGCTCGGCAAGCAGCAGCAATCGTCGTCGATGCAGCTGCAGCCCCTGCTGCTGCAACAGACAAATGAGGCTGAAGGCCAAAATTGCTATGGGGCACATGAGACACATTTGTCATGCGGCCTTGCACTGGAGCCGGGGCCACGGGTACTTGCATCAAAGGTTGCTGATGAGTGTGATATTGAAAGTGCTGGTTCGGGTTTGACTGGGGAGCTTTGAGATGAGCTTGGTTTGGCTGGCACGCGGGTGAAGGGCCCACAACATAACCATGACCCTGGAGCCGCACATGACCTGAGCAAAATGCATCCTCTCCTGCCCTGGCAACCAATGTTCTAAAGACTCATTCCTCAGTGCTCCTCGCACAAAATCCAAGATCCCCTCTCACCTTTCACCCAAACCGGCACCGCAACAAGACCTCCGAACCCCACTGAACACCACTGAACACCACCCAGTTGCCAGCCTCACAAAGAAAAACAAAACCACCAAGAAAGAAAAACAAACAAGGCCAAATTGCTCAGATGCATGGTTTCAGCTCAGCGGCAAATGTCCTTCAACCTCGGATCCTGCAACAACTCCGAGAGCTTCGAATGCCCCAAGGCGGTCTCTGACAGCTCGGTGTGGTACCGCGAACGGAAAAGGCGCTTCACATTGGACAGGGGAATGGTACTCCTGAAAGGAGAAAGGTGTAAAGTTGGGAAACGCAGAAACACCAAGTGGCCGAAGGGAAAAGGTCTGAGTCTGGGTGTTGATTCTGTGCTTCGAATGCTGAGAAGGTCTTTGGGCTACCTACCAGCGGCTACTGGCGTGGCCTCCAACCTACTAGCGATGGCCTCCATTCTAATAGTGATGGCTGCCTACAGTCATTTTGCTGATCTTTGACTTATTTTCTTCGGCCAAGGATCGCTGTGGGGGCCAAACCCAGCAGGATCTCTTTGAGACCATTCTTCACCTGGGCAAACAAAATGTGTTTTGATCCCCTCACCCCAAACCGTGAGACTTGTTACACCAAAGAGTCCCTACCCTGAGAATCCAACAACAAATGCTGAACACTTGTCAGGCGACAAGTGTGTGCGACTTTCTGCTTGCAGCAGAAATGGAATGGTAGAAATGCCCTGTTTACTATTGCGTGGACTGGCACCCGTTTTATCTCCTGTTTTTTTCCAGTTTTTATATTGTTTTCTTCACCTGTTCCAGGAAGTCGAATGGCAAAGAATCAACCAGCCACACAAGACATGCACCAGCCGGAGTCTTCGGACGACAAAAAACGAACCTCAGTGCACCTCAATGGCTGGCAATTCTTGCCAAGTTCCCACTTTTCAGGAAGATCCTGGTATTCGACCCGTTGAGACTGGGTGCAGTCGGTTCCCCCTTTCTTAAAGTATGAAGTAGATGAGCCTTGAAAAATTCATCAGCTGAAAGTTTTAGGTCCCATTGAAGCTCCAGAACCAGACAAGCTTGCACCACACAAGCAACAAATGCTACCATGAGGCCTTCTCCCAATCTGCCAGGTCAGAGCCGCTGCTTCCTGAGATCAAATCACTACCACCCCTTAAACCTGCAAAATGATTCTCGTGGTTTGGGAGACTGAAGTGAACAACTAGTGTCGGATGCCAAAAGTAGGATGTGAAGAATTGATTCTGTCTTCATCCTTTAGCACGGCATTCAGTCACTTCCAATTTGCAAGGAATCCGTTCGAGACTCCAAGTACCTTGGAAAATGGGTATATACAAATATCTGCCTTTACAGCAACAAGTCCCATGTTCTGGGCGGTGTTTTTCACTGGAAAGTCTTGTCTGTTTTGCAAGGCGTCGCGTGGTGTTGGTGCAGGGCCGCTGCTTCTCCGCACATCGTTCCTGGCATCGGGATTGGGCTGGTGGACTGGTCTGTCCACACTGGACCATGTCCGGTTCAGAGCTCCAACGAGTCTCCTCCAAAAATAAGAAAAAACAGTCACTTGGGATGTTCAGTGGATGGCTCAGGACACCAACCGCTTGACACAACTTGGGCATTGCACTATTGCATTTGCTTCACTCTTGGACCATTTTATGCCTCCAAATCTCACTACAATGTCAGGCGTCCTATGATTGAGAGAAAATGGTTATATAAGGGTGCTTCCATAATATCTACAGGTAGCTCTTGCAAGTGAACCCTGTGCATACCTTAAAAAGCCAATCAAAAGCAACCTACATCTCGGCCGTGTCGGCGCCTTGATCATGGACTGGGAGCGCTTGTAGGGGACCACTGCGCCGTTCAAATAGCCGAGCAACTTCTTCTGCGAAATGGCCAACTGCACGATGTGACAAACCTGCCCGGGATTTTCATGTATCAAAGAGATTGCAACCAAAGGTCAAAAGAGAGTTTGTTGAAAGGTCTCATTGTATAAGAAGAGGTGATGAACGGTCAGACACTTTGAGTTCCAGTCTTAACAAACCACTAAACTCACTCGGGTCTCTTATTGGGACACTCGCGCCTGCCCGAGAGAACGTCCCTTCAAGAAATCCAATCCGCGCGACACCAGCGCTTGAGCACACGAGTACCTGCCACATGACTGAATGATGCCAGAAATCTGTTCGTAACTTGAATGCTGGGATGAGCATCGTCTTGAAACAGTCCAACCCCAGTTCTCCATCTATCGAAATCTATCAGGCTTTCCAAGGTGCAGTGCCAAACAAGAAAACTTGCAAACCAAACAACTCCTTTCCCCAACATTTCCCTGGTTCTCCGGAACTGTGTTCTCGGCTGGTCTCCATCCCCATCTTGCCCGTACTTGCCTCCCGCCAGGTAAGACCATATGAGCATCATCCAAGCTCTCGAAGTACATCTCGGCCGCTTGCCACATCTTCTGGGGATAGAAATCTTGGGGGCTGTAGACATCCACAAAGGAACTCATGCTGCGAGAGCACAGCAAAGCTGACCAGTCACCGCCCTCTTCAGCTTGGACATAAATCCAGGGGCAGGTATCACCTCGCCAACGGGCACCAAACATGGGAGAGACTCATCCTGGGGTCTTGATTGGTCACTAGCAAGCGCAGGGATATATTAGCATGCATGCCCTGGAACACCATATTCTGCAGACTTTCTGGAATCTCAGGATTCGTTTGAGTCTACACAGCCAAGGACACACCCTGCAGACCCAGTCACAAACACTCTTCAAACGTTTGATGTCAACGTCCAAGTTGGTAAAGCCCATTGATGCGGCTCTCTCTGCGAGACGCTTTCGCAAAATGCGGCCATAAGGTTTCAACTCATCCATGTACAAACTCTCCACTGCGTTGGTCACCTGCCGGTGTCATGACAGTTTCAGGCTGAAAAGGCTCTTGGTGCCAGGGAACTTGTTTAACATGTTGACTTGTGGCAATAAAAGTTAACATACAAAGTTTGAGTTTTAGTTGCAAACAGAGACTGAACCTCCCAAGTGGGCCTCATGCATGTCCAAGACGTTGTATGGCTGCGATTCTTTGTTTTGACGCCAGGGTTGCACTGGCTGGCACATCACCGGCTGAACATTCTGAGCCTGGACGCTTTGTCCCATTTGCATTTGGGAGTGCCCGGCCGCTGGCACAGAGGGCGTGCCACACGTGGTCGGCCAAGCTCTGCTGTAGCTCATGTCGCACATCAGAAGGGCTCCAAGTGTATCGTCACAAGTTCTTTTTGGAGCCAAAATGGCTCAAGAACCCATGGGTCATAGACAGCTTGCTACGGCTGCAAAAATGTCAATCATAATCATAGTTTTGCAAATCTCATGATACAAACAAAATCTTGAATTCCCACACATGTTTTTCAGTTCACATGATTTGGTAGTACAAAAGGATAGCCACAAGAAGCACTTGGACAGCAATGATGCCCCACACCAAAAAACATCTTGTTTCCTTTCAATCCTCTGAATGCAAATGCATATGCCTATGCCCCGGAGTTGAACTGGCAGCTGAGTGCGGCGCCCACTTTTCTAGTCTAGTTTGATGGTAAAAGGGCCTATGGTAGGCGGCAAAGTAGTGAACCATGGGATGGAATCAAATGTTCAACACCCCACCTCAGACATCCAAAGTGAAAACTGGAATGTCTGATCTGAACTGTCCATGGCGCAAGGCCTGCTGACTTCTTCTTCTGGTTCTGCCGATGGATCTTGATGTCTCATCCGGCGGTGGTATTGGACTCTTCTCCGGACAGATTCATTGGCTCTTGCGCTGATTGAATCTTCATGAAGTGGTTCTGGCACAACTCGTGTGGCTGAAGACGATGAAGCACTGCTGGCAACTGTGGCACCCCCGAAGCAAATGGTACATGGTGAATATTCTTTGGTCACTGAAGCTCTTTGGATGTACCCGCAAGTCAATGTATGATTTGCTGTTCCAAAGGATGGACACACAGCAATTCTCTCTGGAAACATCGACCTTTGTGAACGTGGGACCACTACTCTTTCGGCCAAATTGCACTGAACACCAACACTCGTTCCAGCAGTGTTCACCTTTGTTGAACACTTCCCAAACAACCATCCCAGCAAAAATGCGAGGCATAGCAAAAAGAGAAATGTGCCACACACACACACACAATCAGCATAAAATGATCTGGACTGCTCTCTTCCGAATTCTTTCTCGCTCCATCAGCTGCACTAAGCACACCTGAAACCATGCACACGTGAATCACCTTCTTGGCCAAAATCATATCCTTTGAATAATGACTCAAGCCAAAATGCTCGTTGCACCACAAAACCTTCAATGCTTCTTTCAGCTTCTCTCGAAATTGCTGGTTGTGGAACTCTTTCGACATTTCGTCTTTTCCAACCAACTCGTGTTCACGATGGCTGTCTACCACTCCCAACAAGCCCAAAAGAAACTGCAGCCTATTGATCTGCAATGCTTTGGTACCCAAATCACTTGGGTTGATGAATGTAGAAACTGGTCCAAGCTTGAACTGTTTTTCTGCAAGCTTTTGCTGAATCCACAAGTACTGCACATCGAGGTGTCTCCTTCGAGCTATTCCTCGCCCTGCCACAGAGTCACTGCGGAGATAAATGTCAACATGGTTCCTCAAAAGGAAAGAAAGGCACGGTCGCACGAAAAGGGCCTCGCCAGCACCTGTCACTGTCGCCATAAACTCGCTCTCTCCTGAACTCAAGGCTGGAGTTCTTGAGTCCGGGAATAGGAGTAAATCATGTTGCCATTGAACATGACAACGCCAGCGCTTGTGCTCTTTCGATGCACTTGTCCAGCCCAATCAGCATCTGTGTAGATCTCAATGATTGGGAATTCCTCCAACTCCTCTGACCCGTTCTTCAAACTCAACCATGTGGTTCCACTTTTGCGTGGATAGAGGTGTACGGCATAGCCACTTGTTTGAATCAAGTACTGACTGCACCTGACCAATCCCTTCCAAGCCAAAACAGTAGGTTTGCTCATATACGAAGACAACAGCTTTGCACCGAACTGAATGTCTGGGCGGTCACTGCTGATGTAAAGGATGATGCCCACTGCTTTTCGAAACGTCTCAGAACGGCTTGGATCAAGGCACTCTGTTGTGTCTTCCTTGCAAAGATCTGGATGAACTGGTGCCTTCAGCTTCTTCCCATATGGAGTCAGCTTTAACAACTTCTCCAATGCAAGAAAATGCTTCTCGCTTGGTTGTACTGCAATGCCTGACTCATTGAATTGAAGTGACTTCTTCAAAAACTGACACACGTCACCAGGCTGCGAATAAGGTCCTTGCACCTCCATAGTGAACTCTTCTTGCAAAGCCTTGATGAGTTGCGTCCCTTGCTCGCGTGGTCCAACAAACTGTAGGTCGTCCACATGCATGGACAACAATCCATGCTCCTGCCTGAGCAAGCATGGACATGCAGGACAGGTCTCAAAGCCATGCTTCTGAAAAATGTTCACTGCCTATTTCCACCACTCCTGAGCTGCAACACGTTGGCCTGGTAGAAGTCGACCAAGACGCCATTTCATTCCTGGATTCTCCTGACTCCAAATCTTCGGTGGTTCAACGTACACCAACGAAGGCTGAGGAACCAAGAGATATGCATTCTTCACATCAATTGCCCACATGCTCCACTGCTTTTCCAAACAAATGCTACTGAGCATCTTGGCGCAAGCAACACCGGATGCTGGACTGTAGAACTCATCACGCCATGGCTCAAGCCATTTGAACTCCCTTCAAACAAACCAAAACCTCCGTTTCCAACAACCATTCCTCCAGCGCCAATCTCGCACATATCTGGTGGACATGAAGGGTTGTCCAACTGTCTCTAACTCGGGAACAGGGGTGAGCACATTGCTGTTCATGAGGTTCTGGATCTCCTCATAGTCACCCTGTAGCTTCAATGCCTCCATGTCTTCAGCACTGAGCTCTGGTGGGTTCTCCCCTC